AACCTTTCTTTAAGGGTCGGGAAAAAGCACCCGAGGCCGGTGCGAAAGACCTGAGTTGTTTCACGTGTGGAGGGCTACACTTTGTTAGGGATTGTCCGAAGAGGAAGGCTCTCAATGCTACCACCGTAGTCCAAGAGGAGCGGGAGAAGCCCGAAGAGGCGAGGTTGGGAGCAATGAGAGTCCTCAATGCCGTAAAGGCAAGCGACGAAATGTTCACGGTGCCTACGGAGGAGGGACCCGAGGATGAACTCATATATTGCGAGGCCAAGGTAAACGGGGTACCTACGAAGGTCTTGATGGATTCGGGAGCATCTCGAAACTTCTTGTCCAAAGACAAGGCGACGGAAATGGGTGTAAAGGTGACGAAGGGAATTGGGTGGATGAAACCGGCGGATTCAGCGTCAAAACCAATCACCGGCATGGCCAAACAAGTCCCGGTCCAAATTGGTGGATGGCACGGCAAATTGGACTTCATGGTGCTACCGATGAGCGATTACAAAGTCATATTTGGTGTGAAGTTCATGAGCGAAATGACGGTGATCTTCCACAAGACCAAGTCAATGAGCTTCACGGAAGGTGACGTAAGTGTTCATGTTCCTTTACACGTTGAGAAAGTTAAATCGCATGTTTTTTCGGCTATGCAAGTTTCGAAGGGATTCAAGCGAGGGCACGAGACGTATTTCGTGGCTCTCAAGGAGGATGACCCGTCAAAGGGTCAAGATGTCCCGACGGAGATCAAAGGCGTGCTAGACGAGTTCGAGGACGTGATGCCCCCCGAATTACCAAAGAAGTTGCCCCCGAGACGAGAAGTCGATCACGAGATCGAATTGGAGAAAGGGGCGAGACCTCCGGTAATTGGTCCATACCGGATGGCCCCGCCCGAATTGGAGGAACTTCAAAGACAACTAAAGGAATTGTTGGATGCCGGATACATCCGACCGTCGAAAGCTCCTTATGGCGCACCGGTGCTTTTCCAAAAGAAGCAAGACGGGAGCCTTCGGATGTGCATTGACTACCGGGCGCTCAACAAGGTGACAATCAAGAACAAGTACCCGATACGGTTGGTGGCGGACTTGTTCGACCTCTTGGGGAGGGCCAAGTGGTTTTTTAAGTTGGACTTGCGGTCGGGATATTGGCAAGTTCGGATTGCGGAAGGTGACGAGCCAAAGACCACTTGCGTAACGAGGTACGGCTCCTACGAGTTTTTGGTTATGCCCTTCGGCTTAACTAACGCCCCCGCTACCTTTTGCACTTTGATGAATACGATATTTCACCCATTTTTAGACAAGTTTGTTGTGGTGTACTTGGATGACATAGTCATCTATAGCGAGTCTCTAGATGAGCACACGGAGCACTTGCGATTGGTGTTCCGGGCCTTACGGGAGAACAAGTTGTATGTGAAATTGGAGAAATGCTCGTTCGCTCAATCGGAGGTGATGTTCCTTGGACACAAAGTGAAGCAAGGCGAGATCTTGATGGACACAAAGAAAGTGCGGGCAATTGTCGAGTGGGAACCGCCTAAGAACGTTTCCGAACTTCGGTCGTTCCTTGGGTTGGTGAACTATTACCGGCGATTCATTGCGGGATACTCGGCGAGGGCGACGCCATTGACGAACTTGTTCAAAAAGAAAGTTGCTTGGGAGTGGGGTGATGAGTGCCAAGCATCCTTCGAGAACTTGAAGGCGGCGGTCGTGGAGGACCCAGTACTTAGGCTCCCGGATTATTCGAAGCCGTTCGAGCTTCACACGGATGCCTCGGACTATGCCATTGGAGGAGTGGTGATGCAAGATGGGCATCCCGTGGCGTACGAGTCTCGGAAACTCAACGACACGGAGCGGAGGTACCCGGTCCACGACAAGGAAATGTTGGCAATCGTCCATTGCCTTCGGACGTGGAGGCACTACTTGCTCGGGAGTCACTTTATGATCAAAACGGATAATGTGGCGACGAGTTACTTTCAAAACCAAAAGAAGATCACCCCGAAGCAAGCACGGTGGCAAGACTTTTTGGCGGAGTTCGACTACACATTGGTGTACAAGCCGGGCAAAGCTAATGTCGTGGCGGATGCGCTTAGTCGGAAGGCTTCCTTTGCGGCGATTACTCAAGTGCAAGGGGACCTTGCCGACCGAATCAAGGAGGGATTAGCCGAGGATTCCTTAGCCACGAACTTGATAGAAATGGCTAAGAAGGGCACGAAAAGGAAGTTTTGGGAAGAGAATGGCCTACTCTTCACGGTCGGGGATCAACTATTTGTGCCACGGTGGGATAATCTTCGGCGGGATATCCTTAAGGAGTGCCATGACTCCAAATGGGCGGGACACCCAGGTATTCATCGTACAAAGGCATTGGTCGAGCAATCGTTTTATTGGCCTAACATGCAGGATGATATCAATGCCTACGTGCGGACGTGCTTGGTTTGCCAACAAGATAAGGTTGAGCAAGCCAAACCGGCGGGACTTTTGGAGCCATTGCCGATTGCCGAGCGGCCGTGGGATAGTGTGACGATGGATTTCATCTCGGCGCTACCAAAGTCGAACGGATGCGGATTGATCATGGTGGTGGTCGATAGATTTTCCAAGTATGGGACGTTCATACCGGCGACAAAAGATTGCAAAGCCGAGGAAGCCGCCCGACTATTCTTGAAGCATGTGGTCAAGTATTGGGGAGTGCCGAGATATAACATTAACGACCCACGCTTCACCGGGAAGTTTTGGAGGGAGCTTTTCAAGCTCTTGGGGTCGAGTCTCCACTTCTCGACGAGCTTTCACCCGCAAACCGACGGCCAAACCGAGCGGGCGAATCACTTGTTGGAGATATACCTCCGACACTTTGTAAGTGCCAACCAAACCGATTGGGCTCGTTTACTTGATGTTGCACAATTCTCGTATAACTTGCAGCGTAGCGAGTCTACCAATCGGAGTCCTTTCGAGTTGGTGACGGGGCAACATCCGACGATGCCCCACGAGTTGGCACGGGGATACGAGGGAGCGAGTCCGGCGGCGTACAAACTTGCTAAGGGATGGAACGAGGAGCACGACATAGCAAAGGCGTACTTGGAAAAGGCCGCGAAACGGATGAAGAAGTGGGCGGACGACAAGCGACGTCCACGGGACTTCGAGGTCGGGGACCAAGTGTTGGTCCGAATGTTGGGGAGGAATGTAAAGGCGATCCGTCAAGTGCACAAAGGCTTGACACGGAAGTACGAAGGACCGTTCGAGATGGTGAAGAAGGTCGGAACCCGATCGTACCGACTCAACCTACCCGACAACTTCAAGATCCACCCGGTCTTTCACGTGAGCTTATTGAAGCCGTATCACAAGGATGAGGAGGATCCGTCCCAGAACGAGTCACACCGCGCTCCACCGACGACGACGGTATCCTACGAGAAAGACATTGCGGAGATCATGGCGGATCGTGTGATGGGCAAACGGGGGACACCCTGTTGGACCGAATACTTAGTCCGGTGGAAGGGCGAGCCGGATAGCGAGGCGTCATGGGAGAAAGAACAAGACCTATGGCAATTCAAGAACCACATCGAGGCGTACCGAGCGAGCACTTGACGAGGACGTCAAGGTTTAGGTGAGGGAGAATTGTCACGGTCGGACTTTCAAGCGGACACTTGGCGGTGGTTTTCCTATACTTAACATTTTTCATTATGCCAAAGACTTCACTCAAACTCACTAGTATCTTCTAGAAGGTTCCGGATGGTGGTAGAACTTGGCATTAATGAGGTAGTTGGGAGTTGATGGTTGATTGTTGGTGGATTGTATTTAATTCGGTAGTTAGGAAGATAGCATTTACTCATTTGGCTTGTATAAATAGGTGTTTGCACCTCACTTGTAAGTATCCAAGTCTTTAGCAATCAAAAGCATTTCTCTCCACACTTTCTCTCTCTAGAAAGCCTTTGGCTTTTGTGGTGCTTGGCCGAGTCGGGAAGCCTGCCTTAGTAGCCGACGGGAGTGAGTTGCTAAGGGGCGCACGGTTACTTCGAGTGAAGGAAGTTAACCCGTGACACTACGCTCTATTCGGGCGCTCTGGCACCCTATCCGGGTGTCCCTTCACACTATCCAGACGTCCTGCACACTGTGGGGGCGCCGGTTGATCCGGATGACCTATTGACCTGCAATCATAGGCGGTCCATATTTGATAGCTGATAGACTACGCGATCCAGGTGAGCGATGACTCAAGTTATCTGGCGCTCATCGACTCTGAACTCTATTCGAGCACTGCTAAGTTGTTGCATTTTCTACTTTTAATTTTAAAGATTATGGGATAACACTAGTATTATGCAAATAATGTATTTATAAAATTAGTAGGGTGATGATTGATTATTTATTCTTTGATCAATATTAATTATAGTCATACAGTTGATACTAATCGGGTAGTTTAGGTAATTAATAAATTTGATTAAACGATATTTTAATTAAGAAGAATTTAATTATATTAATTATTTATATTATATTTAGAAATGTAAATTTAATTAAAGTATAAAAACACCAATAATTAATTATTTTTTAAATCTTATATGTTCGAAATGATATGATGTTCATAGTTCATAAAAATGTTGTCATTACAACAATAATATGATGTTTCATCGCAAGTTTCCTAATTCATGTTTTATGAAAATACTTTTTTTTATAATAGCAATATGATGTAGTACTGTGAAAAGCGTAATATATTCATTATTTATGCAATAAGTTTAACTTTTAATTTTCTAAATAAATAAATTCTTAAGTAACCAATTTTTATCATAATTAATGGATTTATTTGTAAAAAGAATAAATATTATGATTTATACATTAAATTTTTTAGAAGATTTTTTATATAAATACTTAAACATATTTTTTATAAAAAATTGTTTCATTATATTTTCTATAATATAGTAAAATATATCGATGATGTACATATAAATTAACACAAGTAAATATTATTATAAGTTTCAACAAACAATAATTTATAATATAACTCATTTAATCAATTTAATTCCAATTAAACCTAACCTTCAAAGCAACCACCCTCACCCCCAAATATTCCTACTCCGCAAATCGCGATCCCCAATTCTCGATTCTGTCTCCATTGCTTGGTGAAGTCATCCATTACTGTCGCATTTTCTTACAATTCAAACTCGATTTCCCACTTTCTTCGTTGTTTCTATCAATCACTTACTCCATCACTGTCGATTTTAATTTCTGAAATATTGGGAGATGCTAGAACTTGATGAAGCCCAATGGCATGAGAAGAATCACAACCCCTCATCTCCCGTTTCCGTCTCCATCGCCATTGCTGGGTGATTTCGTCCATCGCCTCCATCGTTTCCAAACTGTTTTGGCTTAATTTTCACCAAGGCGAACTCATCTATTGTCGCCCGATCCCCACTCTATCGTCATTGACTGCAATGATCAAAATCAAAGAAGATGTTGAGAAGTCGATGAAGCTCAAGGATACAAGAATCACCTTCTTACAATTCCTATGTGTGTCCAAGAAGATGGTCGACATGAAAAAGTAGAAGCTTTTTCGCCCAAATTGCGATTATTTGAGGTATTTCATTTAAAAGGAAATAAATTAAAAAAAAAACTTTTTGTTTGTGAATCGAATGATTATAAGTGTAAAACCCTTTATTAAACTATTGAGTTATTGAGACGTCAACCGTAAGTGTTTCATATATAAATATATTATGACGTGAGAACCAACTACTTTTATAGTGACGAGGAAGAATAGGTATGACTACGCTATTGTATAAGTGTAAAAATTATGTTAAAAAATTATACACATTTAATAAGATGATGCCTCCATTTGATGATATATATATATTAAGAATGTGATGTCTTATATAGATATATATAGATATATATATTGTGTATTATTTAGGATATTGATTTAAAATTCTTTTGTTTGTAATCTATTAATATTATTAATACATTCTTCATATCTCTTACAACAATTTGACACATTCTATGTCTCATAATTATTAACACATTTTTATTTTTAGTAAATTTAGTAATATTAAATACACTTAACAAATATAAATTAACTTAACTGTAATATCTTACATGCAAGACTCACTTAAAATCTCTTTGTTTTTATATCTCTCATTAATTATATTTATAACACGATCTATTCAAAATTTCTTTATTTCTATATATTTTCAATAAATAAATATTTTATCTGCACTTAAAACTCTCTATTCAAAATGCAAGACTCACTCAAAATTAATTTTTATATAATTGTATTATATAAATTAACTTAACTGTAACATTTTATATACAAGACTTACTCAAAATCTCTTTATTTTTATATCTCTCATTAATTAAATTTATAACATCTTACAAGTAGGATGTATTCAAAATTCTTTTATTTCTATCTCTTTTCAATAAATAAATATTTTATCTACACTTAAAACTCTCTATTCTTTTTATAAGATTAGTTCATGTTAACAATAAATAAATAAGAATAATTTTTATTTAATTGTATTATATAATATTTTATTTTATACAAAATGATATTATATATTTGATTGAGATACTAATATTTAAAATATTTAAATACATATTCTAAATTTCTTTTAATTATATATATTAAAACTTTAAATGATAAAAGATCAGTTTGCAGGTTCATTTTTGTAAAATTACAAAGATGTGTGAGTTGTACGATTGTTACTGCAGTTGCCCAACCACAGCAAGGAATTCAGGCACGAGTTTTTAAGTTATCTTTGACCTTCTAAATGCATTAAAAAAATTCTGTAGCTGTAACCGTTAAAATAATTACTATGTTAGAAAATTATTTCTCAAGAATATCAAAATCGTTATCGAAAAACAATAGGGATTTTTTGATATGCTTGTTCACAATAGAGAGGTTTTCACTACAAGAAATTATCAATTTTGTAATAAGATTTTTTCGTTCTTAGATTCACTTTTTACGTTAGCTACGTGAAGTTTAAGAACGGAATTCCGTTACAAATATAATGGTATTGTGCTTGAAATTATTCCGCTTGAAATTATTTTGCGAGAATATCAAAATCCTTGTAAGTTGAAGTTTCATATTGGTGGTTTTCCATGAAATTAAATAATATTCTCTCCATTTCAAAACAATAGGGATATTTGGGATAGACGCGGAAATTAAGAAATAATAATCACTACAAGAAAAAATCATTTTTGTAACAAAATTTTTTTGTCTCTAAATCTACTTTTTCCGTTACCAATGACATTAGAGACGGAATTAGGAACGGAATTACGTTAGCTACGTGAACTTTAGGGACGGAATTCCGTTACAAATATATTATTTTTTTGTAGTGAATATTATATTGATCGTGGGTGTAAAAGTGTTTTTAAAAGACCAAAATTTTTCTACTTTATGTAATTATTGTCAAAATGTGGAGATATACAAGAAAAAAATCATTTTTGTAACAAAACTTGTTTGTCTCTAAATCTACTTTTTCCGTTACTAATGACATTAGAGACAGAATTAGGAACGAAATTACGTTAGCTACGTGAACTTTAGGGACGGAATTCCGTTACAAATATATTATTTTTATGTAGTATAGTTCTATAAAAATGTGGGGAGTTAGTTAACAAAAATGGAAATGCGACTATTGTTTTAGAACAGACGAAAATGACAAAATGAGACTATTATTTTGGAAGGGAGAGAGTACTTAAATGATGGTTTCTTTATCTGCATAGTGCTATTCCGATACTAATAGGAACCAAATTCGATGACTTTGTCCAACTCCCACCAAACATCTAATGGAATATCGTCACTCAAGTAATATAAACTTATAAACTCTCCCCGCCATTCGAAATTATTGATATAAAAAGAAAGTTTAATATTATCATCATAAATTACTACTTGATCATTTTCTTGGTAGTAGTCATTATTTCTTAAACAAAAATTTCCAATTCCCTTTAGGACAAAGGTATCAATCAAATCAGTATCTGTATCTTAATTTAAGGTGTAATGAACATGAATTGGCAGATGTGATTGCAGAGTTTTGGTTGACTTATTTGATTCATAGGCATGGCTGCAATATTTGTTTAGTTTCGAATTGCACTAAAGAAAAAAATAATATATTACTAAAAAAAAATCCGTGAGTACTCTCTGAAAAATCTGTGAGTAAATTGATTACTCACGAAATTTCATCTGTGAGTATTCTGTTAGTAAATACCTCGTAAGTAATTCCTCATGAAAAAAATCCGTGAATAATTTTGTTAATAAATTACTCATGATATTACTTACGGAATTTTGTCCGTGAGTAATTTTCTCATGTAATCACTCACGGACTTTATCCATAAGTAAATATACTCACAAAACGAATTTTGAATAATTCCGTGAATAAAAATCGCAAACTCCCTTATTTGCCATGGAATGATTCCATGAGAAATTCCATGAGTAATTTACTCATAAATTTTCTCTTGCAACATGTCAATTTTTTTAGACGAAATAATTTACGTGAGTAATTCTGTGAGTATTTTTTTCGACTCCACAAAAATTTATATTTCGAGTTATCCATACCTGTCCAAAACCATATATTGTGATATCACATCCAAACCATAACATAAATCACACCAAGCCAAATATCTAATAAACAAAATATGATAGAACACTACAAAAAATTAATATATTTGTAACGGAGTTCCGTCCCTAAAGTTCACATAGCTAACGTAATTTCATTTCTAATTCCGTCTCTAATGTCATTAGTAACGGAAAAAGTAGACTTAGAGACAAAAAAGTTTTGTTACAAAAATGATTTTTTCTTGTAGTGGAATCATATGATATTTATAAACATAGTTCCGTAATTGATGGATACCAAGGAACAAATCGATAGGTTTAATTTATCCGCAAGAATTTAGAAGCCACAAACTAATATGTAATTCCAAAGACCTGATTTGAAATCAATATGTAAGGAATTACTCACTCATACGTTGAAATTAAACATATGAGAAATGCACGTTTTCAATGCAAAAGATATATATTTAAATGCAAGCAAAAATTAATATGAAAATAGATACAAGAGCCTTTATATAGAGGCTAAGCATAGAGGGGGACAATGCGCTAACAACAAGCAAATTGACAACGCATTCTTGTAGAGAATATATTTCCAATACAATTAATTGCTAAATGTTCCTATAAAACTAAATTATCAACATCAAAATAATGACAATATATTCCCAAGTATATTATTAATATCACAATAATGACAGCATATTCCTATAAATAATTTAGTTCTAAGATGATAAGGTAATTCATTATAAAAAATAAAGAAGAAAAAAAAAAAACAATGTAAGCAATGGTATCACGGTGGGATGACACATTTCTTACCCTTACTTGCTATTGAGGGTAGTTTTGGCTTGGACGCTGTTGTTAGTTGTGGTGCCCTTTGATATATATATATATATATATATACCTTATTGTTTTTCTTCAATTGTCTTTTTAATTTGAATGGTTTGATGCATAATCTTCTCAAAATCCATGTATGAATATATCTCCAAATTATTTGCAATTTCTTTATTAACCCCAATAAAGAAACATCCATGATTTATTTAGGATCATCGGCTTGCTTTAGAAACATCTCTAACTCCTTGTGATATCCATTCACTGTTCTTGGTTTTTACTTCAAACTTTTCAACTTCCTTAGTACCTCGCAATGATGATCATGTTGAGGCACATATTTCCTCCACATCAGTCCTTGCAACTCATCCCAAGTGTGCACGGGAGGCTCTCCACGTCGGGGTCATGAGAAGTTAATCTAGTTCCACCAAGATAAAGTATAGTCAGAAAACTCTATGATAGCAACACATAACTTTTGTCTCTCTAAAAGTTGTTTCACATTGAAAATCAACTCCATTTTGCACCCTCTTTCTCGAAATGCCTCTGGATCATATATTCCTTTGAAGGGTGGAACTTGAAACTTAACTGGTGGAACTACTTCATCATCATATCTTCTGCAAGGGTTATGTGGCCTGCGGTATTAATTTCACTATTGAAATCATCTTCATCATCCTTGTACTCACGTTTGTACCTTCGAGGTTCACAGATAATATGTCGTGGAGCTAGTACTTCTCTTAAAAAAGAGTGTTATTTCTAACCCCATCCTCATAAACACCCTTTTCATCAATGGGTTCAGGACCACGTGGAGTACGTTGCTGATGTTGGTTGAAATCCAAGTGATCCATGCAGCTATTACGCACCTTAATTTTGGAATGATGTAATTCATTCACTTAGTTCATCACCAAGTTCAAAATGCCTTGAACATCTACATTTTAAAAATGTATATCGAAATCCAAGTGATCCATGCAGTTATTAAGCACCTTGATGTATCGATACATATATTTCTATTTTTTTTTCTAATGATGTATCGATTATTTTTAAAATTATACCTCACAACTCTCACGTGTAACTTCTCATATATTGTACCTCTCTGTCTTGCACGAAGCACAAATTTGATCGATGGAATGCCTCCAAAGATGTGATGAAAAAGAAAAAAAAATTAAGATAGAGAAAACAAATATATAGAACTAAAATGGTAGTGAGAATACGGAAGCTTATGACGAGGAACGTGGAAATAATAATAGAAAAAACAAACAAGTGTGACATTTTTTTTTTACTATCACAAGTTTTTGTATTATATATTTTTTGGTAGAGTTTTTTTTTTTTTTTTAGAAGAAAAGATTAAGTAGACTCAAGTGTTAGAACTTGAGCTAACTAGCTCTGATGCCAAAATGATATAGTCCAATAGGGTTTGTATTATTTACCCAAAGTTAAAGAGAAAGAAAACCTTAATCGTTGTAAGGAGTTCGAGAAAGATAGCAAAAAAAATAGGAGATACATGAAAGAATATTTGATAACCAACCTAGTTGATTAAGAGCCTCAAAGATTTAATCTTGGACAAAAAAAATCCTAACTTAGGAAAATGAACAAATCGATAGGTTTTAATTCCTTTTTAGAAACCATGAACCAATAATTAATTTCAAAGACTTGATTAGAAATCAATGTACAAGGAATCACTCACCCACATGTTGAAAATAAAAAAAATGAATAACATAAGTTTTCAATGCAAAAGAAATACTCTCTCTTTCCAAATTTTGTCGTAATCCACATTTACACATTTTTTTAGGTAAATAATGTTTGGTTATGACTTTCCAAATATACCCTTCAGCCACCAAATTAATTTAGATATTCATTTTTCTTTTCTTTATTTCATTACTCCATTTTTTTCTTCTTCCTTCTCAGTTCCTTCATCCGTCCATTTCTTCGATCAAATTTCGGTTTCAATCTTGCGAGTTTGATTTTCCATGTTCAACCTTATTTGATTCAAAATAAGGAATAGATCTGAAAATTAGGGCACAAATTTGTTTGAATTACTATGGTGCAGATCTTCCGTTCATTGTTCATTGCGAAGAGATTCACAATCCAAAGGAATGCAACAGCATAGCAAAGGTATGAGTGTTTTAATTTAAATTTAATTTTGCGAGGTATCAGATTTTGTAAAGAAAATATGTTTGTTCAAAAAATTCAAAGTTTCAAATCAATTTTTGTTTTCCTTTTATTTTACTTTTACTATATAAATTTTTTGCGGCAACTTTAATAATCTTGTTTTGCCGCCAAATGAATTGAAATTTTCATAACTTTTTCAGCCATATATATAATCTTTCTGTTTTTTCAGATATTTATTTCATATCTCTTTCTCTCATTTTCTGAAAAAATTTAAGATATGGATTCAACCGTGTTAAATGAAAATGATGTTTAGAGTGCCTAAAGCCAAATGCAAGAGGCTTACTAACGAGAATAGAAAATTGATATTCCAAATTCTTGTACAGCAAAGTAGAGATAGAAAAGTAAATTTTGGTTCTGTCAAACAAGTTGCTCATCAATTTGGAGTTACTGATTGCATTGCACGACGAATATGGGCTCAAGGAAGGAAAAGTATACCTGCTGGCGATATGGTGAACGAATCATCGGGGGAAAATAAAAGCGTTCGTAAGAGGATTCAAATTGATCCTGGTGTTGTAGCACAAGTGTATCTACGACAGTATTCCAATCTTCGGTCACTTAATGTTGCACTTGAGGTATCTAAATCAACAATTCACAACCGATTCAAAGAAGGTTTTCTGAGGCGTCATTCAAATGCCATTAAGACTTCATTATCTAATGCAAACAAAAAGGCAAGGCTTGAGTTTTTCATTTCAAAATTTGATCAAAGTACACTAAACGAAAGTCCTACTTTTGAAGGTATGCTTAATTATGTACATATTGATGAAAAATGGTTTTATTTATCTGAAACTTCAGAGAAGTACTATCTTACTCTAGAAGAAATGGATCCACACCGAACATGTCAAAGCAAAAACTTAATTCCTAAGATTATGTTTATGCTGCCGTAGCACGTCCAACATTGGGTGGCAATGATTTTGAGTTCTTTGATGGAAAATAGGAATATTTCCTTTTATTTATCAAGAACCGGCGAAACGGAAAAGTAAGAATAGAGATGTTGGAACCTTAGAGACTAAAGTTGTAACTAGTATTAGTAGGGATATTATTAGAACATGTTTGATAGAGAAAGTGCTACCGAAAATTCGAGACAAGTGGCCAAAATCTCGCTCTAAGGCTATGTTTGTGCAACAGGACAATGCAAAGCCTCATATCTTTATCAATGATCCGAAGTTTGTTTTGGCTGCAAAAAAAGATGGATTTGAGATTCATCTTTGTTCACAATCTTCAAATAGTCCATATCTGAATGTGTTAGATCTTGGTTTCTTTAATTCAATTCAGTCTTTACAGCACCAAAAAGCTCCTAAGTCCATTGATGAATTGATTGCGGCTGTTCATACCTTGTTCAATGATCAAAATTTGAACCGATTTTGGCTTTCCTTGCAGCTAGTAATGAATAAAATAATCAAAAGTGTTGGGGGAAACAATTTTCAGTTAAAGCATATCAATAAAGAAAACTTGGAGCGTGAAAATCAACTATCAATTTGTTGGCCTTGTGATCAAGATGCTATAACCAATGCATTAGAACATCTTCAAAATTTGCAGTATTGACGGACATGTATTTTGTAATGTTTTAAAAAATATATTTGATGTAAAGTTTGTGCTATGTACTTTTTGAAAAGGCATACACCAAAGTAGATATAGTGGCCACTTTTATTTTATTTTGTAGTTGTAAAAAATATTTTTGTACTATTATAGAAAATGTATATATGTACTTGCAGTGAAGTGTGAAAATCAACATGCATATAATGTGTATTTTCCAGGTGATTGATTAAAAATACATTGTATTAGATCCATGTAGGGTTATTTCATAGTTTTGGTGTAAGAAGAATACATTGCATTTAAGTCATTTGTTGCACCATTGGTGTTATACTATATTTTAGTGTTTTCATTTTTCAGTTTATATAACTTGTTTTAGTAGTCCAAAGAACCTATGTTTATAATTTGACTCAACTGTTTGTTTTAATTTAACTTGATTCTTTTGCATAGTCATATACTCTTCTTTCATGTTATTTGTTTTTATGGTATGAATGTGTACGTGTATATGGATTGGGGCTGATTTGTGTAATTTTATAATAAAAATGATGAGAAGTTCTTACATGGTCACTCTCAAGTGTTTAAGAATATCTAAGAAAAATAATTTCTGAAATAATTTATGTTTAAAGGAAAAATATATATATATATATACATCTAATGGTAGTATAGTTTCATTACTGTTGGATAAATTTTTGTTTCTCATTGTATGCATTCCAAAAGTTACACTGAAATTTTATGGCGATTGATATTTGTTGCCGAGTGTGATGTTAATGCAATGCATCAACAGATAACGCCGGAGCCTAATTTGATTAATTGTGTAAAAACCTTAAACTTAGCCGACCAATTGTGATTGATAACAATAGAATTGGAAAACATCAAGTTGTAAATGATAAATGACTATATTACTTGACATTTAGTAATATTTCTGGTATTATTTTAGAATTTCTTTTAGATGGATACTTGATTTTTGTTGCCTATTTATTTACATTAACATGGTTTGTTGAACAAAATAAATAAATAAATAAATAAAATTGAATTATTGTAATCTATAGAAACTTTAATCAAAATATATGTATTTATTAGATATATAATGATTTATTTCCACTTGATACACAAAATTTTCATTATCAACCTTTACATCATACAAACTACTTTACAAGAGCTAATTCATTGATTTATTCAACAATTCTCATTGAACGTGACCAAGCAGGAATGCATGCTTAGAATTTACCTCAAAACTCTTACAACTTCAATATGATATAGACACCCTGCATTAAAAATAAATAAATAAAAATCCCATAACAAAACAAAACATAAATACAAACATATCATACAAATGCAAAAACAATATACAATCATGCGTCTATTTTTTCCATCTTTATCGGCCTCATTTATACCCTGCAAAAAACTAAAATAGAAAAGTATAACAATCATCCATGAACAATATGTAAAAACCATAACAAACTTCAATGTAAACTAAATTTAAAATATTGCATCACATTATCATCCCGAGAATTAAAGTACAAGCGCAAAATAAGATTTTGGAGTTGGATAATTTAATGTCTTGAGAACAAGTTCCCACACAAAACTACTCCTACTTAAACAAAATTTGCTGGAAGTAGCACAAAACTCATTACATTCATTTTCAATAATTTTCATCCCATCTATTTTTTATAGTCTTTGTTTCGAACGTGAAATCTTCCCAAGCCTTGGATAATTTTTCTTGTCGTGTATCTTTATAAGAAATGGGATGATCCATCACTATGCTGCTCATCATACGAATCACTCACATATTATGCATTGAAAATCATTTGAATTGTAATTAGATATCATCAAATTATTTATAAAAAAAATAGAATATTTGAAAGTTTAATAAACATTGTTGATAATTTTACTTGCATCCATATTTGAATTGGAACCAATAGAATTATTCGACATTTCAGTAGCTTCATGAGGATAATAATTTTTCTTGTGTGCCCGAGAACCAAAAATAAGTTGTTGTTCTTATCACATTGGTTCTCTTTCGTATCTATAAGTCATACCAAGCTTATAGAGCTATAAAAATACAAATCAATACATTTCCAGATCACAGTTCAATATATTGTTTCGCCAAGACCTTTTGTTTAGAAAAAAATAATCTATTGTACTATTAACATAGAAATGAACATACCTTACAAATAGTTTTCCATACTTCTTTTTTCGCCCCAATGATGTTAAATTGCTCTTCATAGTTAACTTCTTTCACTTTAATGATTTGATTAAAGGTCCAATGTCTATCATATGTCATTTGATATTTTAAGAATGCATAATCATATTTATGACTAGTCCCAAATTTTTTGTTCACTGCATCTAATGTCTCTTGAATAGGTGTGGAGTTAGACACTTTTATGATTAAATCAAGTCGACATGCTATATCTACTAATGTACAAATGAATGTTTCATCCATATCACAACTCCAAAATAAATCATAGAACATTTTTTTTTTTTTTTGTTGAATGTCAAGAACAATAATTATTTCTTTAGTACCCATCATAATTTAAATCTCTGCAACAAGTTCAAGTTTGAATAGCCATACGTTTGCAATAGGTGTGGTTTAAATAGCCACACATTTGCAATAGGTGTGAAAATGAAGCCAACAATTTCTGCAGGTCTAGATTGTTGATTTTATCATCGTAAAGATAGCATAGCTCTACATATTTTCACCTAAAAGACAAAAATATTTTTGAGTAAGGTATTCATTCTTTAAAATATTAACTTATAATAAAATGATATTAAAAATTTAATAATAAGAATAGTTAATAGAAAGAATTATTCCATTTAAAATTTTCAATTTCATTCTATCACATTCCTTAACCCATTTCAATATATATACTACTAACAACCACAATCAACTGTTTTTTTTTATTTTTTATTTTTTATTTTTTAACTAAGATTATTCTTAAAATTCAATATTTCAAACATCATGATAATTTACATAAAGAAGCCCTCTGGTATATCAGTTATGTTATCACAGGATGCTGAATAAATATAACATTAACCATCCTACATGGGTTAACTTTAAAAGAAATTCTAAAAGTTTCATAAACATGTTTTAAATTCAATATAATTTCTTCTAACCCAACAAGTAAGGAAACACAGCAACAAAAAAGAATACCCATTTCTACGCCCAAAGAAACGCAACAAGAAGAAGGTACCTATTTGGAGTATAAGAGTTATGGTGCGCCGGTGTCAGCCATTAGCTCGAGAAAGAAGAAGATAACGCTAATTATTTCTTGCAAAATTTCTCTCAATGTCCGTAGTAGAATGGAGAAGATAACACCAAGGTGAAAATTCTGTACATTGGAGAATCAGTGCGACGCGAAGGTTGGAGCGAATAAGATCTGCGTTTTCAAGATTGATTGATGATATAATTATAGAATTAAAAAGAATTTTGAAGTAAAAAAAATAATAGTAAAAGAATAAAAATAGTAAATGAATGAAGGGTAAAAAAAATAAGATTTATGTATAAAAAAGGAAATAGAACATCTGTTGTTAGACATTTCAAATAAGAAAGTAGAACAATTGGACAGAGGGAGTATATTATAATGCAAATAAAATTTGATTTGAAAATGGATACAAGAATCTTTATATGGAGGCCAAGGAAATAGAAGAACAATACAATAATTACAATTAAATCGGCTAAAGAATATATTTCCAACACAATTAATTGCTACATGTTCTCATACAAGTATATTAGCAACACCATAATAATGATAACACATTCTCATAGAGAATATATTTCAAAGATTGTGATTTATGGCAACATATTTCCAAAAGTATAATAGCAATAATACAATAGTCACCAAATATTCCTATAAATAATTTATTTCCAAAATTATAACTAATGTAAAATATTCCCAAAAAAATGATGTAAGCAACGATATTATCATTAGTTCACCTCACACTACCAAATAATCCCGTAATAGTTTGTATATATCAAATAAATACTATATATAAAGATTATATACATAACATAAATATATAATGGGTCCCCTATTTGTATTGGGCCCTAGACGGGCGCCCTTCTCACCTGAGTCTAGGGCGCCTTCTCTGTTCACATGTCTTTAAATAGTTCAACTTGTATAACCGTTAGGCTCAGGTCGATGGTTCTCTTCGATTAAACCAGAAAATTGGTCTTGAAGTTTATGAGCTCAGCTACAGGATATTGATCCAATTGGTGGGGGTGGCATTTGAACATCCACATCATGGATTGTGTGTATGATTACAAACCAACTTACGATGACCAGGCCAGCCTTCGACGAGGGCTGTCTAGGCCCATCGACTCTGGCGGAATTGGACTTTTATGAGAGGAGGGCTAATTTTTCAAAATCTTGAAATAACAAATCTACTTATTGTCGGATAATTTTATTTCTTGATTTACATATTATTGGGTTATTTGTTTCAATCGACCGGACCCGACCGAATCCAAAACCTTATCCAACCTAGTTGGATATAAATACAATCTCACCCTATGTTCTTGATCTATTCTATTGTGATTGAAGTTTTTAGTTTGCTCACATCCAAAATTCTCCTAAGGTTGTTCCTATTTTTTCGTGCTCGATCGATAAGGTTTGGTCCCTTCTTATTGGGTTTATCCAATGCTCTTCCTTAGCTATATATCGATGGGTAATATGGGTGTTTGATGCAGGAGTGAGAAACAAAGCCTTTGTGCCAATTGTTTGTGTTCTTCTCTTTTGTGATGCTCAGTGCTCGCTGGATTATTTCCAGATTAGTTCTGATCTCCTCTCTCCTCTAAACTTTGTGTTTTCTTTTGTTCATTTGTAGGATAACTTGTGAATTTAGGTGGCTTGGTGTTGAGGCCTACCAATTTCTCCATTATGTGGTGTTGCCTCATAAGAAGACTTGAAGTTGGGGTGAAGAGGGCAGTGATTTGAGCCGACAAAATGTGCCATATATATTGTTAAAATCATAGCACCATTTTATTCTTCATAATTTAATTATTATTTTGATTTGATTAATTGTTATTTATTCGCTAACCTACTAATTGTCTTTGTGAGAAGTATTTGGTTGCAAGAACAATTCACCGATCCTGTTGGATTAGGATTCTAAAAAGTTTTATAAGAGCAACCCAAGTTGAACACGGGTTATGTCATCTTGAATCGGAATTTTAAGTTTTTCCCTTAAGTTGGTAACAAAAGATTAACCTATACATAGGGTAAGTTGTCATTAAATTCTTTGTGATTAAATCTTGATTTCCAATTTTTTTTTATATGATTGGTTGACACTACTATCACATAACTGGTTGTTCCAATTGTGAGTAGGTAGTTGATTATTGATAGTTAAAACGCCTACTAGTTGATATCGGGGAGAATCTCAACCAGCCCCGGGTCACGTCTAGAAACTTTTTCCCAACATACTGAAATTACATGTGATTCGCTTGGTGTGTTGTGAGTTGGTTATTACATACCTGGTTATTTAAAAAAGAATTAAGTAGTTGAGCACTAATAGCCATTGTGTGATAATCAGTAATATGACATATGTTTGTATTGCACCTTTTGTTGGTAAAATTGATATTTTAATTTGCCAAAAAAAAAAAAAATGGAAGGAATTTTAGTAACTCAAAAGGTTTCAAAAGCTATTGATGGTTCTTATAGCTCTATATGGAAAAGTCTTTCCTAATATTGTTCTTATTTGAAAACTTTTTAAAATTTGAACTTGATTAAATCAAATGATTGATGACAATCGTGAGATGAGAACAAAATTTAATTCAAAATATGTCTTTAACTAAATAGGAAAAGTGGAATATATAGAGTCACATTCTTTGAAAACAACCACAATCACAATCTACATGAACATGATTGTATCCAACCATAACATTGATGAATCGCACTTAATCATTGCAAATAAAAACTAAAAAATTGGGTTACCAATTAGATCATCGTACGATATGATGATAATAACAAATGGAGTGAAGATAAATGTAGAATTTCTCAAGTTAGACTTGAAAAATCATATGAAGAAAAAAAGAAATTTTCAAAGGCGGATAAGCAAATGCATGACTGCAATACTTCAACCAAAGATCAATTAACAATCTATTTTTCATTTACGAAATTGAGGTTGATTCTTAACATAGGATCACTAAAATATTTTGGTCATCCTCTCAAATGATGGAAGTCTAATCTTTGTTTTGGGGATTCTATTATATTTGATACAACATACAAGACGAAGAAGAACTACAAACCACTAGCTAAATTTACAGCATTTTTGTTTGCATGTAGTTAGCATATCATCTTCCATATGTCAATACATTCTTTAAAGTTATCAGAATCTTAATATACTAGAGATAGCATATGCTAAGTTTTTTTTCAGGCATCAGATTATAAAAGCACTCCAACATTAGGTGTTTTCGTGGGATTAATAATCACCACCAAACGTCTATATTTCGGGCATGTTGTTGTATAAGAAAACACAAGATTCATTCAAGTGAGTTATCAATATATTTTTGAACTGCATCGGGAGTTGAGCACCAAAAATAATTTTTATGGATCAAGATTTGGCTATGATCCTAGCACTAAAAGATACAAGACCAGAAACATACTATACTCCGTGCACATGGCATATTGTACAAAATGCAAAGAAAAATGTATGTGCTCTTTACACAACAAGGTTTGTTAGAAATTATAGGAAAAAATGATGGACTTGACAATCTCGGATGCTAATGAAAACTATACTACATGCTTTGCATACAAACATGTTTGCTTAAATGTTTCAACTTATTCTTTACGAGGTACAAGATGAAAACAAATTCAACCTTCAGTAAGAAATATATGTTGCGAAGTGCTTCCCCAAAAGGACTCATAAGTGGCTACTAAACGTTCACTGAAATAACAATGGTCTTTAGCTTGGAAAAGAAAATATGTCACAATAGGAGTGAGAATCACAAAACTAAGCAAATCATTTAAGTTCTCGTTAAAAATGTATGAAAAAATAATGTAAATTCCATATGTTGTATATTGCAAGAAATGTTTTCTTAACTGATTGCTAAGGTGGTATGACTGAACTAATATGTTGCATAGGTTCTTATAACCAAATAATAATATTGTATAGTTTTTTCAACAATTTGAAAGAGTTCTGAAGAATCATAAAGAGAGAAGAGAAAAATATAATTTGTTTGCACGGGAAAAACATTTAATGAAATCTGCAGTCATGTTCTGCAGTCCAAATGTCTTTCTATAGTTTCAAGAGCAGAGATCATTTGAATTCATAACACGGCGTTTACGTTAATATTCAAGAGTCTTTGATTGACTACACATGAAATATGTTGAAAATTGTTGGGATGTTATGTTGTCAATCAATCCGTACAATGGATATATTAGCAGCAACAGGTTGTGTGCGCTTAAAAAATGTTCAAAACAAATACATATTGAATAGATGAAGAAAAGATAATAGGGATATATTAGCAAATGAATTATGCAGGAAAATACAAATCATTGTGTCACTTGTTCATAAGTTCTGCAAAACTAATAGCATCTGAACCAAAGAATTACAATTCATTCTCAGTCAAATTCAATGAGTTTCCTCATAGCATAGTTACGTGCTGAAATATCTATGGATAAACATCGATAGATCCAAAAATAGTTATGTCTCTTATAAAAAAAATTTAAAATTTTATTTGAAATCAAATTAACCGATTATCATGTTACAGTACAAAACACAATTTCTATAGAAAAATTGATTTTGAAGTCCAGAGATAATTCAATAGGTACTATAGGGAGTAAAGAAGATAAAATTAACATATAGGGAGTAAATAAAAATATAAATATATAATTAGGAAGATATGTGGAAGTTGCCCTACATGGTCAGCATGTACAATGATTAACAAAATATTTTATTGATTACTTACAAGCAACAAGTAAATAAAGAGTATGCAAAGCATTATGTGGTGTTACAAACCAAATATTGTTGATATGGTAAATTGCATAATACATCCTTGTATTTTTGTAAAAATGCAAAACACCTCATATGTTTTATTGCGTGAAATATCCTTGTGTTAAATTAAAGTATACACAAAACACTATATTCGTCCAAAATTGATGTTTAATTATAAACACACACTTAATTATACAAATTTTATACAAATACAGGAGGTAAAATATCTTAAATAGCCTTACTTAAATAAAATAAATAAATAATTGTCCAACCCTTTATTTTATAGTTTTTTGTAAAACTTATGGGTAGTGGTTCGTCTAATTGATAAAAAAATATTGTTTATGCGGCTAAGCATTTTACTACATTATGACAAGCAACTATTAATCAGTGGTATGAATAACCGCATTAAAGTATTATAACTAGCATATTATTATATTTTGGTTAGCATTTTCAGTTTTTACAATCAACACTACCTACTGTTATCTCCGATAGCAAATGGTTATTAGGCTAGAAGTAAAAAATATATTATTGTATTATAATTAGTATATTTCTATACTGAGGATATCATTTTCACATTTTATAATTAGCATTTCAATAAAAAGTACGCAAAGTACTATATGGTGTTATAAACAACATACTATTGGTAAAAGCACAGTGTAATATACAACAAAGTATTTCATTACATTACTTACTAGTAGCGTTTGAGATATAGTATAAAAAATGTCTTATTGGGTTATAAACAACATGTTTTTATGTTGGTGATAGCATTTTCATCTTTTACAATTAGCATTTTTGTATTATTATCTTCAACGATAAATGGTTGCATGCCAGCAGTAACAAAAACACATCATTTTGCACAATTGAATTCATCCTTTTGTATTCCAATGCTAATAACACTAGATTTCTACAAAAAGAAATTGTAAAGATACTTTCCACATACTTATCAAAACAAGGAATAAAAGTGTGTAAAGTTCACATTTAACCCCTATACATAAAAAAAAACACTACAATTACTATCTCATGGGCCTGTCTACACCTTTCCTTGCACAAATGTTTATACATTGTTTCTTTGATTTAGCATTTGGGTTTTCACCTTCTTCAAATGAACTATTTCTACTGGTATAGACCTTCGACTTTTCTTTCCCATTTGATATCAGTTCCAGAAGAGTACAAATCGAAAACAAATATATACCCTGCAAAAATCAATATCATTCTTTAACCTCATACTATTAAGTAAAATTTTTAAAGGCTCGACACTATATTTTTTATCCTTCCCTATCAATTTCAAATCCAATGTCAATTTATCAACAAAATCATTTCATGAATCGGCCTCATCCATGCAGATGGATTGCCTGTTTTCACCATATGGCTAAGCATACACCATAGCAATATCACAATCAATAATAAACCATTCCAAACCACCAGATAACTTAAAAAATTCATGTTTTACACCCTAAAACTTAATAAACATATCATTGGAACCATAGGAACAACCATTGATTTTCCATGTAGCAAGCCCTTGAAACAACTTGAGCAAATAAAAAAAAAAAAAAAAAAAACTCTAACCCAACGATCAAAATAGAGACTCGTTCAACTGGGCGATCTTCCTCGGAACATAGGAAAATTTGATAAAAGAATCTCTCGATTGTGCAGGCTTTTATATTGTTTGATTTATAATCGAGCTATGTTTGCGGGGTTGTCTCTGTGGTGTTGAAAATGTACTGTAAAGTATTATCCTAGACAAAATTTGAAATGGGTAAAAAAAAATTAGACGAAAATATAATCTTGCACCTATCTAATATGCACCATTGATTTAATATCACTTTAGATCAACAATTGAGATTGAATCAGCACCATGCTGATGGATGCACCCATCAACAGGGGATTCACCACCTTTAAACAAATAAATATGCAACATTCAACAAAGTGGTGAATCCCTAAGTCTATGAAAAAATATCAATTGAATAATTATATCTTGAAATAGGAGAAATTGGAAATATCCATAATCAACGAAAAATAATTTGATTCATATACTAAGTTTGACAAAATCTATATCTTAATTAAAATTTGAAACTAAGCCACATAAATG